TTAATCCCCCAGCAATACATTTCCAATGCAGTTGATTTTCCCCTCCACCTCCTACTCTTCCTCCTACCACAGCTCACGTCATGCGCTTATTTATTTATTTTAAAAAATATAGCGCTCAAATTTTTTTTATTTTAAAAAATTAAAGCGTTAGGAAATCAATTGACCGAAATCGCCTGAAGATAACCGAAAGGTTGAAACCAGGTAGCGGAATCGGGTGATCTCCTAATATATATATATATATATATATATATATATATATATATATATATATATATATATATATGCGTTTTATTAAAATCCACCGACAATGTCTATCTATTTAACTATTGGCGACCCGTTGAGAGCATTTAAAAAGAAAATGTGCTCTCGGTAGATTTTATTTTTTTTTTTTTCCGAGTGCTCAAGCCGATATTGGTAATACTGTTTAAAATAATAAGGGGGCGTCTATTTGAAATATGGGTATCAACTAAAAATAATGTTTGAAGTAATAAAATATTGGATTGGATTACAGATAGATAGATAGATAGATAGATAGATAGATAGATAGATAGATATGAACAGACTGAGATAGATAGATAGATAGATAGATAGATAGATAGATAGATAGATGAATAGATATGAACAGACTGAGATAGATAGATAGATAGATAGATAGATAGATAGATAGATAGATAGATATGAACAGACTGAGATAGATAGATAGATAGATAGATAGATAGATAGATAGATATGAATAGATATGAACAGACTGAGATAGATAGATAGATAGATAGATATGAACAGACTGAGATAGATAGATAGATAGATAGATAGATAATGACTGAATATAGATAGACTAGATAGATAGATAGATAGATAGATAGATAGATATAAATTCATAGACAGATAGAAAAATATATAGATAGATAGGTAGATATAAACAGACTGAGATAGATAGATGAATATATAGATAGATAGATAGATATGAATATATGAGACAGATAGAGATAGATAGATAGATAGATAGATAGATAGATAGATAGATAGATATGAACAGACTGAGATAGATAGATAGATAGATAGATAGATAGATAGATAGATAGATAGATAGATAATGAACAGACGGAAGATAGATAGATAGATAGATAGATAGATAGATATAAATTCATAGACAGAAGAAAAAATATATAGATAGATAGGTAGATATGAACAGACTGAGATGGATAGATAGATAGATAGATAGATAGATAGATAGATAGATAGATAGATATGAACAGACTGAGATAGATAGATAGATAGATAGATAGATAGATGGATAGATAGATAGATAGATAGATACAGACTGAGATAGATAGATGGATAGATGGATAGATAGATAGATAGATAGATAGAACAGACTGAGATAGATAGATAGATAGATAGATATGAACAGATTGAGATAGATAGATAGATAGATAGATAGATAGATGGATAGATAGATATGAACAGATTGAGATAGATAGATAGATGGATAGATAGATAGATAGATAGATAGATGATATGATATGAACAGATTGAGATAGATAGATAGATAGATAGATAGATGAATATGAACAGACCGAGAAATATGAAAGATCACTGCCACATAATCATTCTTTGCACTATTTCCTTTCTTTTTCCTTTTGTCAGAAGAATGTAAACTTTGTCTATATTCATCTGTATGCAAAGCAATGTTTGCATAAATATGGGTGACCGCCTCTCTGGATGTAGAATTCTCTTGCACGTGAACTGCCATGTGCACCAACGTTTGCTGACAGCTGCCTTCTATGAAAAACAAAAACATTTTTTCCGTCACTCTCTTTCCACCGACAAATGTTTTCATAAATCTTTTGATGCACTGAAAACCCTTCAAACCCTCCTTTACACACATTCGAAATTTCAGCTGGTATACGACATAATGACATATATTTTTTATTTTTTTTCATTATTCATCACATTTTTGCAACGACTATCTTCCTCTTTGTTGCAACCATCAAAAGTTTTCAGCCGATATAATCTTCGGCTTTATTTTTTTTTTTTCAGCTAAATAATTCTGAAAAACTACGAAGTACTTCGTTTTCTTTCATCTAAATCGCCGCAAAGAAAACCTTCCAGATTAGCATATTTGACCCGAAATTACGTAAATCCCTTCAAATCCAGTGCTTCGTATTAAGCGTATTAAAGAAAAGTAATTAGTAAATCAACATCTAAGGAATGCTGGATGTAACATCTCTTTGAGGAAGGCTGAGGAACGTACCGGCCGAAATATTTTTTTCATTCTTTTCTGTAGTTCTTTTTTATTCTTTCTTTCATCCGCTTCTCATTCGCTAAAGTTTTGATATCTAAATGCATGATCTATTTTCCATTTCACCCCAAGTAAAGCAATAAAGCCACTAAACCACACGGGGTTACTGAGTGTGGAGAATATCAGAAAAAAAGATACTATTAAGGAGAGTGAACAATAAAAGGAATAAGATAGAAGATAATGATTGACATTACATTTAAATTTTTGACTGAGAAGTAACAAACCGGAAGAGAATTGCACAAGCAAGAAGTGCGAGGGAAGAAACTGTCAGTATAGAACTTACGGTTACATCTAGCTATTTCAGCTGTAAAATGAAGAGACCTATCTGCCAATCTAGTATTGCACTTAAATTTTTAAAGTCGGGGTACCAATGATGAAAACTGATCAGAACAATTACCATGAAAATATTTAGAATAAATGTACAGAGAAGCTGCGTTGCGGCGATGGGAAATGACTGTTTCCGAGATGCCAGGTCAGTACTAATAACATTGCAGATTCTTCTTTGAATTTTATCAAGATCTCTAAATACATAGCAGAAGCAGCAAACTATATGTGCGGCAATATTCAAAGCATGGACGAATGGTAGACTTATAAATATGTAAGATAAATTCTGGCGAGAAAAATTGTCTAGAACGGCCCAGTGAGCCAACGTTCCTATCAATAGATTCAATATAATCTTTCCACTTCATGTTAACAGAGAACATTGGCACAACGAGTCATTCTCAAAATGAAGTTTAGTATTCTCAGCCGGGTCGAGAGACGAGATTAAACAATTACGCTGACATTCTTTTAAATCCTATCGAAGCAAGTGGCCTTCTTATTTCCAGAGTAACCATGCTGCAAAAGATAACAATTTCGCTGAGTAGGTGACCGCGAAAGAGTTTATCAATGAATTGGCTTCAAGCAATTTAGAAACTGCTTAATTAATGAAAATACATATTAGCCTAATACATGCATATGGAATCCCTTTCATGTACGATAGTTGGACCACATCAAATGTGAAGAGATCCTCAGTGTGCCAAGCCTCCTGGGTGGAGAGCATTAAAGAAGTAGTTTTACTCAAATATGTTTGTAATATGAAATTTAAGAGCAGAAATGATTGGGAAAGAAAGAAACCTAAAGACAAATAGACTTAAAGACAAAAATAAAACTGGAAAACAAAGATAATCATGCAATTCTCAGATAATGTTCTTCTCAGTCCAACTCTATTCTCTATTTCACCTCTTTCGCTGTCTGTCTGTCTGTCTATCTATCTCCACTCTCTTTCCCTATCTATCTATCTATCTATCTATCTATATATATATATATATATATATATATATATATTACATGAATCATTCATGCAAAAAACAGATATAAAAGTTAATGATATAAATATATGAATGATTCATGTAATGTAAATTGAACTGCACCACATACTTGATATATATATATATATATATATATATATATATATATATATATATATATATATATATATATAAAAAAAGAAGAGAGGTGCCGCAAACGTTTTTGGTTGTAATGTGGATTTATTTAGAAAAATATTATGCTTTGTTTTACATAATTTTACGACACGTGTTTCTGGTCTCAAGACCGTCTTCAGGTAAAAGTGGAGATTTCTACATATTATTAAAAAATAATTAATTTTTTCTTCATGTTCAATGTGAAATATTCTCGATATGAGACATTCTCTGTTTGTGTGTTGGTAATCCGAATTTCTTTCTAGAATATATATATATATATATATATATATATATATATATATATATATATATATATATATATATTTCCTCTTCCCTCCCCAATTCTATCTATCTATCTACTTCTCCCTCTTCACCCTCTATCTCTTCTCATTCACTCTCTATCGATATACCCTCTCTCTCTCATTCTAAACTCTCTCTCTCTCTCTCTCTCTCTCTCTGCATTTATCTCTACTTCATTCTTATCATTTACTCTCTCACCATTCTTTCCATATCTATCTTCGCTATATATAGTCTACCTTTCCCTCTCTCTTCCGATTTTCTATCCTCTTCTTCCACTCTATCTATCTATCTATCTATCTATATATATATATATATATATATATATATATATATATATATCTATATATATATATATATATATATATATATATATATATATATATAAAAGTGAACATAAAGTCAACACTTAGAGGCAACAGTCTGTTTCATACTATATGCAATCGTCAGGCCACGTGTGCTGACGATTGCATATAGTATGAAACAGACTGTCGCCCTAAGTGTTGACTTCTATGTTCACTTCATATTTACACACGCTCTATCTCTGATATTGAGCACTTTATCCCATAATATAGCACACCTTAAGACTATATTTCTTCATATATATATATATATATATATATATATATATATATCAGTCTGTTCATATCTATCTAGCTACCTACCTATATATCTTATATATATATATATATATATATATATATATATATATATATATGTATATATATCTATATATCTTTCTCCTCTCCATTCTGATTTCCTATCCCTTCCCTCCCTACATCTATCTATCTATCTATCAGGGAAATTGTCTCATCCTTAGTACTATGGCATCTCTCGAAAATTGACTTTCCCAGACACCATAGCTCGGGACTCAGGTTTGGACATTGGGGATCAAGGGACATCAATGCAGGACCGAACAGCGTGGAAAGGGATTGTCAATGGAATTCCGACCAACCATAGTAAGGTCGAAAGATGATGATGATGATGATCTATCTATCTCCAGTCTCCTTCCCTATCTATCTATCTATCTATCTATCTATCTATCTATCTATCTATCTAACTATGCCTTTAATATGTTGAATCCAGTAGTAATATCTAATTCGTTAGAATTAGTAAGTTGCTGTTTTTTGGGGTTTTTTTTTATTATTTAGACATTGAAAATTGACCAATTCCCGCTCATAAGATGCCCTTTGATTCTGTTAACTTCTTTGAAATCTGTAATCAAGAGAAAAATGCATATTTCTCGGGGTTACTTCTAACATCCAAAATACATGCGTGAATCATTTATCTTTGTAGGATAGCCTTTAAGAAGACAGCAAAAAATTCTGTTCAGTTATCTTAAATTGTATTTTTACTTTAATTATATTTTTGTCTGCTAACTACAGCATGCAAAAGAGGACAGTTTTTCCGGTCACTTTCCACCGGGAACAAATGTCTACAAGAACGAATATGCAGCAGTTCTCTCTCTCTCTCACACACACACACACACACACACACACACACACACACGCACACACACACACACACACACAGACAAAATCACTTTTGGTTAAATGGCGAAACAAAATTTATCGGTACAGTAATGCATCGAAGGCAAAGGTTCTACTAGATACTGTCAAATTATAGCTAAAATAACCGGAAGAAAGAAAGAGACTGGGAGAGACGAAGCAGAGAATGAAACGTTTGCTGTTTACCGCTCCCAGCAGGAACCATTTTTAAACTTTTGTTGTGTATGCTTGCGCGGAAAGATAGCGTTCTTGTGAGATTCAAGTTTCGCATATTGTTAATTCCGCCCTATTTTCCAAGCGACCCGAATATCTTACACTTCCATTTCTCTTTTTTAAAATGAGATTTTTTGTTCCTTTTCTTTTTTTTTTACCTTCGCGAGGTGATAAGCTTCATTACTCAACGCTTTACTTTGGAATAATTTGTCGTTGTTTTTGTTATTGGGTGTTTTCCTCACCGTTGTTGTCGGCGTTATAAGGATGAGAGTAACATCATAGATATCTGAACGGAAAATGGACTGGGCGAACTACGTTCAAATTCAGGCAGATTCTGTTGCGTTCATTTTCACAGAGATAAATGTTCTTGGGAAAGATGTGGAGCCATTTCATCTCCACTCCACCATAGTATATGAAATAAATAGGAGGGTGGACTAGGCTCTCTAGCCTTCAGTGGTAGCCAGAAAAAGAGAAGAACTATTCTGAATTCAAAACTGTACAGAAGACAAAGGGAAAATAATCCATTATATATATATATATATATATATATATATATATATATATATATATATATATATATATCCTTTCCCCCAAAAAAGCGTGGCAATTCACTGAAAATAAAGAAAAGGAATCTATGCAGAAAACAACGGCAAACCAATCTACTATCTTTCCCAACATGTCTTTGCAATTCACTGATTATAAAAATGGGAATCTGTGCCGAAGGCAATGGGAAACCAGTCCAGTATTTTTCCCCCCTCAAAACGTGGCAATTCACAAAAAATAAAGAAAGAAGAATCTATGGAGAATTAAGATCGCCTTCGCCTTAAAGTGACATGACATTTCCAAACTAACTGGGCTTTTAATCAACTTAAACTTGCCCAGGAGCAGAACTGCGCCCGCAACTGATTATTGAACTCATTAGATCTCATTATAATTATATTTTTTTAAAAATGCTTTCACAATAAAAATGAAATTAACCAAGCAATGTCGATAAAAATTTCAGAACAAATTGACAGTATCCTTCGGAATATAAGACTTAGTGGTATATAACAGTGGTCGCCAAACGGTGGTCCACGGGCCAATGGTGCTCCGTACAAAATTTTTAATGGTCCGCAGAAAAATTGGACATTATTTCAATTTTTATGAAGCTTCATATTAAAAAATAACGAGTAAGAAAACGTATTATGTATGGTATATATATTGGAGACCTTATGTAATCTCAAAATAAACACGAGTACACAAATGTGATATCATCCAGCCTAACATGACTTGCAAACTTTATTTAAATAATTACACTATAACTTTGTTACATTTAATGGGTGCATTTCAAGTTTTCCGATTGTTAGTATATGAATGTATTTACCTTTTTTTTTTTTTTGAAATTCATATTAGTGGTCCGTCAAATTTAAAATTATACATTTAGTGGTCCATGAAGTTCAAAATTTCAACCGATGATGAAATATGTTGGATTACTGACGATTAGAGCTAGAGTGGATATAAAATCGGGTTTCCATTGTTTTTCATGTAAGGTTGAAAATTATTGAAAACCAAATTTAACGTTACGTCTAAGATATCAACTTATTTAATATTAGAATTAGTAACTAAGACTAAAAGATATAAAAACTCAGTGGATTAATTTTCTAAGTTTATCAATCTTACTTCCAGTAGATTTATTTACAATCATGAGACTTTAGAAGGAACCGGAAATCCAATCCTAAACAGGAAACAAGGAATTATCCTCTCCTCCTATTCAAAAGATAGGAAAGGAATATATATTCATTTCATAACTACAGTTATTCTATTCTTTTTTTTATAAAATGCAGAGTGTGTGAGAGAAAGAGAAAAAGAGAGAGAGAGAGAGATCCCTGAACAAACTCTAATCACAACGAAATTGTTTTCTCTCCCCCGTTCGGGTGCTAACCAGATTCCATGCTAACAAGCTTAGCAAACATTTAATAAATAAATAAAAAATAGTGTGAAAAGTAAATGTTTTATTTTTTCGCTGCAACCCTAGAAGTCCCTTGCCAGTATCAATGAAACTTTATGGGTTTTGTTCTTTTGGGTTTTGATGTTTTATTTTGTTTTTTGTTTTCAATTTGATCAGTTTGTTGTTATCTTTTTACCATTTTATAACACGCAGAAATCATCAGACAATCTATTGGCCGTCGTCGGGTGTGAAAAAAGATATACCAAAGACCAAGGGGACCGCTACGCTCAAAACCACATGAGCTATGTTGACATTTTCTTGTCTTGTTAAGAAATCAACCTCCCTGACATACACCCATATATATATATATATATATATATATATATATATATATATATATATATATATATATATATATTATATATATATATATATATATACGCGTGGTGGGAGGGTGTTCAGTGTTGTAGTTTACCCCTTCCTGCGTCTGGGGTTGTATTGTCACATTTTTTACCCCCGTCCGCCATCTTTTGAAAACGAGGCTATGATTTTACAGGTTCTCATTCATTGGGTGGTCTCGACAACAACCGGCTTTGAATGCTTCTTTTGTGATCCGATATCGCTTACGTGGCACTTTCTCCGAAGACACAGCTCAACTGGCCAGTATTACATGGAGCTATTTATCTTTCTACTCATGGAAAAAATAAAAATAAAAAGATAGAGGTGAAGAGAAACGGAAAAATAATAGAATGCTAATTTAAGACATCATTGTGGAATTGTCAGAGAAGTGTTGCAGAAAGACGTTTTATCACACGCCATTTTGGTCGACCTTATTGTTTGTTATTTCCAGTGATTCCTTCTTTATTTTTCGTAATATCCCACGCAAAACTGAATGAACTTGGGGACTTATATATTTGTGTTTCTTTAAATATAAAAGACGAATTTTTCATGATAGCTGCCTATTTCGTATCATTTTCTCAAATATCTCTCTGAACGTAAGGATAAATACGATAGAAATGTCCTCTTAATTCCATTCAAAGCGTAAAAGATTCTTGTCATTAAAAATTCATATGCTATTAAAATAGCTTTTGATAAAGTACAGCACAAAGAACTACTTGAACTGCTAGGTAAGCTTTATTTATTGGGGGAAGGATATTGGAACAATCCAGAACTTATACATATATAACTTATGCATACCACTTACAAACGAATAGAAAATGAATGCAGTAAATACACAAAATATAAAGGCATAAGACAAGGATGTAGCTTCTCGCCAGACTTATTCAACCTTTACAGTGATGCAGTTCTGAGGCAATTAGATGTCCTACCAGGATTCATTATTGGCGAACAAGATATTAACAATATAAGATATGTCGATGTGATAGTATTGATAGGAAAGTAAACTATAGCCATTGCGACAGAAGGTAGTAAAGGAAAGCGAGAAGAAAGGACTAGCTATCGATTGTAAGGTGACAGAATGTATAGTTGTCAGCAAACGTAACAGCAAAAGATGGGAACTACGGATTGGAGACACCAAAATTAAGCAAGTAGAAAGAATTGAATATCTAGGAAGTGTTTTAACAGAAGGTGAAAAGGCAACATCGAAATGTTAAAGGGGCATTGCAATAGCGAAAGTTGCCTTCCAAAAGTTAAGCAAAGTATTAAGAAACAGGAAAAATTCGTTCGAAACAAAGAAACGACCACTGGATTGTTATGCAATATCACTCCCCCTATATAGCAGTGTATGCTGAACAATCTCCTCACAGATGAAGAGACGTAAGGCAAAAGAAATGTGGTTCTACAGAAGGATGTCTTTTTTTTTTAAGTTCAAAAGGACATATCTATTGAGCTTCAAGTTTTGCAGCTACAACGCTCGTCTGCATCCGATAAGTGCCTTGAGAGAGTAGTGCTGCCCTGCAACACCCTTGATTATTATGCGTGGAGCAGAGTTAAGCGACAGACCAACAAAACTATTTGTAATACCAAAGATGATCTGAAGGTAAGGATTATGGCAGCATTCACCAACTTAAACACGGAGACCATCCAGAAGAGTTGCAGAAGATTCCGAAGAGACGGCAATTTTATTGAATAAATTTACTCTTTAGTATTTCAAGATATTTTTTGTAATTTTGGTAAATATATCTGTTAAAATGAGATGCCAGTGTTATTTTCATTTTTGTCATTTAGACGACAATTTATTCATTACACTATATATATATATATATATATATATATATATATATATATATATATAAGTTTCCAAGAGGATAGAATCCGGGTAGAAGTCAATATCCAGGACAGAGTAAGATATAAAAGGCTCAAAAACTAATATTCCATGGTTTATTAGTGTTTGAGCCTTTTATATCATATTATATATGTAATAGGAAATGGATTAAATCCGACAATTTTTTGTTTATATGTTATTTTTTATGGATTCACTTATTTAAGTCAATGCTCTGTTCTTTAATTATTTATTACATTTACCGGCCTGAATGTTCGAAAAATTTCGTAGAAAATGTGTGTTCTCCGGCAGGAATCGAACCTGCATCGTTTGAGGAACCACCATTAATCTGGCGTGCTATAACCGTTCAACCACAGAGAACTTCCGGTTGAGAAAGGCTCAATTAATGCGTTTAAACACACACTTTCGCTGATCTTTCTCGATCTATCATATCTGATTTTTCATCCTAACATAAACAATGAAAATATGCGTTCTCCGACAGGAATCGGACCTGCATCCTATGATGAACTACCATTAATCGATCTATCATATCTGATCTGTTTTCATAATATAATGTAAACAATGACAATATATTTTTTAAAATTCCTTTCCTATGATATATTGTCATTGTTTACGTTATGATATGAAAACAAAGCAGATATGATAAATCGATTAATGGTGATTCTTCTTAGGATGCTAGTTCGATTCCTGTCGGAGAATGCATATTTTCTACTAAGTTTCTCGAACATTCAAGCCGGTAAATGTAATTAATACTGTTTAATTAAAGAACAGAGCATTTACCGTAATTCCCCATGTATAATACGCATTTTTTTCTAAAATATAATAAGCAAAATTGGGGGTGCGTATTATGCGCAGCTACAAAAATGCCGTTTCATAGGTAGACTCACTACAAACATACGACAATTTGACTCTAACATTCGGCGATTGCAACCACATAATGATGTCGAATACAATCATATGTACCTAACAATACTTACAAATGTAAAATAAAATAAGAATTATCATAAAACTAAATTAGAATAATATTATTCTATGTTTAAAACCATTTTTATAAGAGTAGGAAACGCTGACCGTAATGAAATTGGAAAGGTACAATTTATAGGGTTTGATTAACAAACAAGAGGTGCGTATTATGCATGAGTAGAAGCATTTTCCCCCCACTTTCACCACAATTTTATGGGTGAGTATTATGGATGAAGGCTTATTATACATAGGTAATTACGTTACTTAAATATATGTATACATAGAAATAATATATAAACAGAATGAATATATATATATATATATATATATATATATCATTCTGTTTATTTTTATGGATACAAAAAATAACATATAAACAGAATGAATATATATATAATATATGTATAACATGCCTTCATCCATAATACGCACCCATAAATTGTGCTAAAAATTTTCCTAAATAACTGATATACAAAATCCGATAGTTTTCTGATATTTTTATATACCTAGGTATATATGTAGACTTAAGAGATAGATACGCGTTAATCACTCCGTGGGGTTTTAATATTGTTAACGTTTTCTTCCTCAGTAGTTTTTTTTTTTAAGTTCAAATTAGTTTAATTCTACCCATCTAGTTTTATATGATAAATGTATATACACTGCGTGCCAAATTATTAACGAGATAACTTTTTTTATATTTCAAAAACCGTCCAATCAATTCACTGTGGCACCTTGCATTATTAGAAATATTCATAGAAATATGATTTAATTTTTTCTTACTCGGTTTACTAAACAGGTTGTTGATTTTTTTTTAAAAAACAAGAACGATGTAACCACGCCCGAAAGGAGGAGAAAGGATGCTCGATCAATAACAATTGGTCGGAAACGGTCACGTGATCTGCAGAAAAGAAGAAAAGAAATGCCCGATCAGGAACCATTGGTCGAAAAACGGTCACCTGACATACGAGAGACTAAAGAGATGGGTGTGCACCTCCCACCAAAGGCACTGTGAGGAAGTAGGGGTGAAAACAATAGCGATAATGGGAAGTCAAAAAAAAAAACCCTGACGCCGACAGACCCACCCCGGTTTGCTGCGGCGTCAATAAAAGCAGGGCCCCAATCGACAAAAGGCAGTTCAGCCCCGGACGGCAGCGAGAAGAGATCACCTCGGACGACAGAGAGTTGCGGCTGAGTTGCGGCAAAGAGATCCTTCAGCCCAAGTCGAAGACAAGAGAAACTTCCAGCCTAAGTCGACGAAGAAAAAGAAATACAACTCAAGTCGAAGAGAAGAATCAACTGCGAATGATCGATAGAAATTAGCCCCAGTGTCGAACCAAACCACACTCCGACATACACAATTCTGAAGAGTAGACAACTCGAAATCTTTAAGTTGTATGATAGAGGCTTGGTGCCATAGTCCACAAAGCGGGTCGGGAAATAAGAACAATTTTTCTTTATGTAACGGACATTAGATATAAAAGGTTGTCACCCTTTTTATCAGTAATTCTTTTTCTCGTGAGTTTTTTTTTTTTACTTGTGTTTTGCCACCCCGTCGGACTCAACATGTATCGGCCCCAATCCCTGCTGGTCCCGTCTGTCTAAGATCTAAACACAACGTGGGTAGACAGACCGGAGATCAGTACAGTTGCTTCAGTAACCAGGTATTGGAAGCGAGTTGGGAAAGGCGAGGCTGGTGATCATCCAACCAAGGGGTTGGAGCGGCACGCTTGGAACCAGGAGGAGCGACCAGGAGGAGTGACGTCACAGTTGGCGCCGTAACCAAGGGATTCGACCCTGGGCCAGGTGTGTAACCGTCACATCACACAAAACTCTCACACAATGTTGGTAACACTAACCTGCATAATCACTGAAATTTTTGTACTGATCTGCGCAATGTAAATAAACTGGCGCCATATTTGTTATCAGCATGGTGATTTGAGCGTGCCAAATTATTAGAAAGGTTTAGTAAAATTCCCAGAATTGAGCAAACAAAACGCTTATTAATATTGCACGTGAATGTTTATGATCAAAAGAAGCTAATAAATAAGATAATCAAACAAATAATAACAGATACAAACAAAGGCACAGTTTTAAACAAATTAATAGGGAATGTGCTTTCCATTTTCCCATAACTCAGCGTTGCTCCTGAATTGTCGTCCGTTGGCGTACAGTCTTCGCTTCATGATGCTCCAAAGGTTTTCGATTGGGTTCAAATCCAGAGAATTTGCTGGCCACTTCATTTTTCGAGGTCCATCGAAGGCTAACTGTTTCAAATATTCAGTAGTCTTGTGATCAGCATGTGAGGGGGCATTATCTTGCATAAAAACAATAGCCCTTCTGAAGGCAACTCTTTGCCTTTTCATCCACGGTCCAAGATGCTCCTTCATAAACGCTATGTATGCATCAGCAGTCATTTTGACGCCATCTGGTACTCTCCATAGGCCCACTAATGTTTTTCCAATAATACCACCCCAGATCATTATGCTTCCACCGCCTTGTTGGCGTCTCAAACGCTGATGGCGATTCTGTCCATTCATGACCCAGCCTTTGCACCATCTATCTGGCCCATCAAGTGTTTCGTCTGTGAACAAAACTTTAGAGAAGTCAATGTTCATATTGTCCTCGGCCCATTTCAATCGATTTTGAATGTGATTTCTCGTCAACGGAGGCTTCGATACAGGTTTGACAGTTGTTGCTATTTCCCTCAGATACCGACACCGAGTACTTTTAGACACAATAATTCTTTTAGACACGCAATTCGACTGAAAAGCTCTTGGCTGGTAAGTCCAAGATTCTTCGTGGCCTCTCGTTTAAGTCGTGACATGAGACGACGTGAAATAACCCTCGGCTTGCCTTTATCTGCCCTTTTGCGTACTTGTGTAGGGTCGGTGGTGAACTTTTTCACTGTTTGATGACACCTCCCTATCATTTTAGAAATTTCTAGGTTAGATTTACCTTTCGAGAGTTTTGAGGTGATAGTTTTCTTTTCAGCATTACTGAAACTGCTTTTACGGCCATTTTTTCACTAAATTCTTACACTTTTCTAATAATTTGGCATGCTCAAATCACCCTGCTGATAACAAATATGGCGCCAGTTTGTTTATATTGCGCAGATCAGTACGAAAATTTCCGTGATTGTGCAGGTCTGTCGTCGTCTTATTGATTTGAAAGGCCATGAGAATCACACAGTCATTTTCTCAGATGAGAATATCTTCACGGTGGATCTGATCGTGAACAAGATTGAGATGTTATCTCCTGTTAATTCACCTCTCCAAGTTCTCTAAGAGTTGTGAGTTCAATACCTGGTTAAGGCAGTGGAGAACTTGAAGAGATGAATTAACAGGAGATAACTGATAACTGACATCCATTGGACATGGCACGTGGAACTAGAACAGTCTACCCCAGCGAGCGAAATAAAGGGTTCAGTTCGATATTCCAACCACCTGAAGAAGGCCGGAGTGTACAACGGCCGAAACGTTGTGATAAATATGGCAACAAAGATGAGGACAATAGTCCGAAAAATGTAAATAAATACATATATATATATATATATATATATATATATATATATATATATATATATATATATATATATAATATAGTTGATAAATTGGTCAATACAACAAAGTCAAACGAAAGGGTACTGATGAAATCAGTACAAAAAACATGTATTAATATTAACCAGGTGGCTTTTTTCTAATTGTGTGTGTGTGTGTGTGTGTGTGTGTGTGTGTGTGTGTGTGTGTGTGTGTGTGTGTGTGTGTATACACACATATACATATATATATATATATATGTATGTATGTATTGGAGTAGAAATTCTTTACTTATATATCTTTCATCTAATGTGCCGGGAAAGTAAAATTTTGTACGTTTTTTACTTAATTTTTCTTTTGTAATTTTTATTTTATGAATATTAAGAGTGTATAAAGGCCGAAGTATATCATAGGCTGATAACATTGACCAATAAACCATTCTTTCTATTTACACAAAGAATGATGTGCTAATTTAAAATCTATGGTCTCCAAAACTATCAGGTGAAAGTCTGACTATGAACGGTTAAAACACAGAACATATCCTCACACGAGGCCAAAGAACGATTCCGATAATCTGTCAAACGTCCCACTATCGCAGAACTAGTTGTGTTTACGCATTTAGCCAAGTTCCGACATTTTACGAATGCTGGATAGTACATGTTGACTCATTCTCTAAAAAAAGAACTATTATATTGTTTTGGGTAGTCAAAACGTCTCAACATTCTTTAAGAACTGAGCTTAGTTTTGCTGTAGGGACCTCAGTGGCCAAACAGTAAAGCATGCTTAGCGAAAAGGTGGTTTCCCAGGCTCAGGGAATGCACTTTCGTAATAAGAAATAATTAAAATACAGTAAGTCCTCACTTTAACAAACTAATTACAGAAAGGTGTGTCTTTCATTGTTCAATGTTCGTTCAATCTTTATTTTAACTCGAAGGTTACGTTTTTACTATTTTCTAAGTATTAAAAGCTTTTGTAGAATATCCAGTTCTATAAAACATACAATTATTCAATTCTAATAAAGAATATGTAAATATTTACTCACCTTTTTGATAATGTGCTTCAGTGTTTCGTGAACTTTCTGGAATTAACTTCCAAAACTCAAAAGAAATTTTAGTTTAGACAAACATTAAAAGCATATTGCTTCTCTCATTAAAGAAGTATTTTACATTAATTTTTCAGGATTTGGTCCAGTCCATATCAAAGTCGGGCCCAATCTTTTGCCTGAATCCATTCTGAATGGAATAAACATAAGTGAATAAAATAGTGGCGTAATCTTAGTGCAATATTTTGACAATTATACCCCAGATCTCAATACTTTGACAAATATACTCCAGATCTCAATATTTTGACAATTATACCCCAGATCTCCATATTTTGACAAATATACTCCAGATCTCAATATTTTGACAAATATACCCCAGATCTCAATAATTTGACAAATATGCCCCAGATCTCAATAATTTGACAATTATACCACAAATCTCATTGAACAATCGGATGACGATAATTGAATTATTTACCGGAAGAAGGCAACGACTTGAATAAAACACTTGACTAAATGGAATTCATGAACAAACGTATAGTATTGATAATTACAGCAGTAAAGAATTGTGAGTAGTGTAATGGATAACGGCTCGGAAGTGAAAATTGAAGAACTGAGTTCGAATTCAAATCAAGTTCGTTATGTTTACTTTCGCACAAATACCCTTGGGAAAGGTATGAATCCACCTCTTCTACCCCAGCTATGGGTTAATTAGTAAGACTTGTATCCCTAAATCATTACTATCTCCAAAGAAAAAATCTTATAGTATAAAAATATTTTCTGGCCTTAAATAACCTGCAATGGGTTGATAAGCCGTAAAATACGAATCAATCAATCAATGTTGTAGCAACGTCATTTTTAGCGGATTCTCTATTCTAAGGACCGTGTACACGGTAAACAAGCAAATCAATTGTTGACGATATTTAAAAAATATGTATCTAAGAAGCTAGTTCAACAAAAAATATCCGTTGTTACTTTTATTTAAATGATGGGTGCAAAAAAGCAAAATTAATAAAATGATTAAATATAGATAAGGGAGAGAATGCTACATCATTTTTGAAACCAGAGATTAAAACGAGGCTGTAAATCAATTTACAAAGCAGGCAGTAACTGTCCACTATAAGACCGAATCTCCTTCTCCCTTTCTCCATACTCCTCTACCTCTTCATCGTCTATCTCCTCTTCTTCGTCCTCTTCTTCCTCATCATCAAAAACATCTCCATCATTATCTCCATCAAGCAGACGCAAAATAATTTGACTCAGTTCATTATGAGGAAGATCATCACAAGCACACCTTATTCTTAATAGTTTTTCTTGATTGTCCAAATCTTCAACAGAAGACAACATTCCTCTACTCACACTGGGTAACGGCTGGTCGGTCTGTGACGCAACATCAACTTTAGCTTCTTGACTAAGATTATTGCCGACCTCAGGCAGTCCCATCTCTCCCTTGCTTGTAGTCTGGCCGAAACTGTCTCGTCCGAAAGCATCTCCCTGCCCAATATTTTCTGACAGTATTTCCTTCGTCGATATTCGATCATTAGGGAAATCTAATCGTGGTCTTGATTTCTTCTTCTTCGCAGCTCGAATCTCGTTTATATCGTAAGCTTGTCCCCGATAGTTGGACATGAAAAAGGCCTTGAACCACTGGGCAAATTGAAAATTGTCTTTAAATATCCCTTTTGCTAATCTTTCGTCACAAATTTCCCTTTTGACACCTAGCTCGTCTAACGCTCTTCCGAGAACCCTGAAATTTGCGATGCGCTCATTTTCAGTCGTCTTAGTGAACCTGATGTGATGTATAGGGATCGAACCCGGAAATAAAACTTCCAAACCGAGACAGAAATCGGCTCCTGTCCCCAATTCTTCGATAGAATGAAGAGTTGGCGAGAGAGTAGAACGGAACCAGCGAATTAAATCCTGTTTACTTGTGTTCTTCACACTACAATATTTAGTAACATCTCGGAATTTTTTATCAAAATTGGGGTCTTTTTTCTGAATTCCGGTCGCGTTTTCCTTTTCTGATTCTTTGACATTTCTCGATATTGAAGTGGAATCGTTTATTCTGCCATTCGGATTTATTTCTGGGAAATCGTCCCTGCACTTAATGACCCCGCTCTCATCCTGCTCTTCATTGACCAAACCTGCCTTTGTTCTTTGCTTTTGGTTCAGAGGATTGGCAGGATTCAGTGGATATTTGTTATTGCCCTTGTAATTCGTCTTGAAGAATGCCCGGAACCATAGAGCAAAATGGTAATTCTCCTTAAAGAGTCCTCTTACCATTTTTTCAGCCTCGATATCCTTGTCGATTCCTAACTTATGGAATATCTTCCGAAGGGTTCTGAAATTTCGAAGTCTGTCACTTTCAGTTGTTTTCTTAAACTTGACTTTCTCTAAGGCTACAGAGCCTGGAATCAGCATTTCCATAGCAAGCAAAAATTCCCCACCATTTCCCAGTTCCTCAATGGTATGCAGTTTGTTTGAAATGTTCTTCCGAAACCAAACAATCAGATCATCTTTGCTGATACTTTCCACCTTAAAAGCCTTATTGATATTCATTTCGATTCCTTTTTCTTCCAATTTGATACAGTATGAATTATTTTTTCGTGATTTGAAGCAGCAAAATTCGGCTACTTCATTAAATATTGTAGATAATTGGGAAGTTCATTAGACGTGCGTAATTGTGTCCCTTTATGTTGAATAGAATCAGTTAATACGTACACATAAATAAAAGCGGTTGCAATTTGTGCGGGCTTTAAATTGCCGCTGTTACAAAGCAACTCACCTTTCAAACTGTTTGTACTTTAACTGATCTTCCGTAATTCGAATCTTTGACAGTTTAGACACTCTTACTCGCCGAAGGTCAAGGCTCAAGTGAATTATGATTGGTTAAGCTTCTTTCTTCTTTTTTTTCTTTTTTTTTTTTTGTAGAAAATCCAAGAATCGGCTTGGACGCAAATCAAAAAAACGCTCCACGTGAACGTCCGATTGAGAAGAAACGGAACAAATAACAAACAACGTCTTGCCATTGTTACGTGACTTGGTTCCTTGTGGAAAAATTATTATTGGTTCCTTGTTCAAAGATTATTGAATCAAAGTTTTTATTTGAAGAAAGTATCTGTAAACAAAAACAAAATGTTTTTTGTTTTTTGCTATCCTCTAGCCGCAATGATGGAGAAAGCATTGCTTCACACTATCGCCAGTGAGACACGCTGCAAGTGCCACTCTGTTTTGGCGAGTCTCGTACCTTAATCTAAACACAATCCTGCCAACCTTCCAAATTAACGCCTTCGAACGAGGGCTAATTATCCCAAAAGTCTCCACTGCCACTGGAGTAAAAATAAATATTTAACTATTTTTTTTTATCTCTGCGTACCATACCCCGGCCCAACCGAGGTCCTGATCAAATTACCGGCCGAAAATGTATCGGCACAAGTCGCGTTCCAAATCAACGACTTCCCCATTTTAAAAGGAAAAATGGTAATGCCATCCGGTCGCTTTCCATCACCACGGTCGAGGCCTACGGGTTCGATTTGAGAGGAGAACCCAGCTACATACATACCTCTTCTGATGATGTTGTTTATTGCTGCATGTCTTGGAAAGCAGTCAGCACTACAGCGACAGGAGAGAGGATGCAAACCAAACTCATAAATGGAAGCTCCACATCCACCTCTGTGAAGCTCACATAATTTGAGCCCAAGACGGATTATGACCCTGGCCCGAGTGCACTCATCATGCAGATGGGTAGCGGTAGATGAAGAGGTCACTGTGTTAAGCCAGACGCCACTACACGGTTGTAAAACAGATAATAGAAAGGCAATGCGGTCCTGATCCACAGAGAGATTCAAATTATTAAAAAAGATTATTTTCTTCTTTTCATTTCATTTTATTGAGCAGTAGTCATTCGTTTATCTCGCGATAATGGTGATGATGGTACATTGAGGCTGTGCGCTGTGTGTTTTTTTTTTTTTTTCAAGCATTTCACTCCAAGCAAGGTGGAAGTGCCACTAGCACGCAAGGGGTTACAGATGATTGAGAACGAGGCGCTCTCAAGGAGTTGGGAATCAGCCATTCTAATGGGAGGCAGGGAGGGTTCTCTGTGGTGGCTAAAGGAGAGTAGTTTCGTTTTGGAGGCATTGAAGTTTACAAGCCATTTCCTGTCCCCGTCAACCACAGACTGGGGGTCCTTTTCGAGATCAGCAGCCAGTTTTGTCAACGATACCAGATTTACTATTGAGGCAGGAGTAATTAGTAGTATCGTCCGTGTAGATGCCAACATGAGAACTGATGACATCAGAAGGTTGTTAATGAAGGGTTAGGGTTAAGAACAGTGTAGGGCCCAAGATAGAGCCTTGGGGAACACCAGCGTTCGTGATACAAAAAAGCCGTTTAGGACGGTTTGACACGGTTTTCACGGTTTGACAGGGGTGATTGAATTAAGTCAAATAATCGTCATGTAATACCGTCTCCCCGAAGCTTACGAAGAAGGCCAGTATACAAAACCCTATCAAACGCTTTAGAGATGTCTAGGGCCACGGCTCGAGCTTCTCCATTATTGTTGAGTATATAGAAGCCGTGCGCTGCCCAGGCTGCATGCGCCCACCACTCTCAGTCGTAGCGACAAGATCCAAACGAATATAGGTAATTACATCCACAAATACCAGTGGCCGGCTATTAACTAGAGTTCAAAAGTTTAAAGCCACCATTGGTATTTTTTTTAAATTGCCCCCAAAACGTAGTTGTTTTATATTTTAAACAAGAGAAAATTATTATACATAGTTAAAAAAAAAAGTGTAACATGATATTTTTTAGAAACTTTATTATGACAAAAAGAAAAACATCATTTTATGATTAAATTTTGCTCTCGTCGAAATATCCTCCTTTCGTCTTGATTACTGCAGCAAAAAAATTTTGGCATTCATTGCAAAGGTTTCTCAAAGTATAAGTTTGATAATTGATTCCATTCTTTATTCATAAACTCTAAGAGCACTTTTTCATTTTTTAATCTTCTGTCAAGTTTATTCCATAGTAATTCTCAGGGTGAATCCAAAATTTTGAACTCCATATATATATATATATATATATATATATATATATATATATACATATATAAGTTTATTTTTATTATGTCAAAAGTTATTATAACGAATACACGTATTTGAAATAGAAAACCCATATATATATATATATATATATATATATATATATATATATATATATATATATAGGTTTTCTATTTCAAATAACTTTTGACATAATAAAAATAAACTTATATATATATATATATATATATATATATATATATATATAGTGTCTAGATAAAATTACGACTGCATGGTTTGCTGTCAGGTTCTCGTCTTAAGAGATTATCAGAATATGTGTCACTCCTCTTTGTGAGGGTTTTATACAGAGGTCTCTGGGCGATATGGGAAGTGGATCTAGAAGAAACCGGTTTTTCTTTTTTTGTTTTGTTTTTATGGCTAATGTTTTAGTTTATTTATACTCCTGACAAAGGATTAAGCATTAATTTTACACCTGAGAGATTTAGTCTCATGTTTTTTATCAGTGTGTACAGCGAACGGAAATGTATTGACAATTATTTTGACTTCAATGTTTAGTGAACAATCTCGTGGTGTTTGCCTTCAAACACGAGTTAGCATAGTAATTCGAAAAAGCATGAAAACCTGTCATCGCGACTGACATTCAAATTTTCCCTATGCCTATCCCAGACCCTTCGCCAATGGGGGCCTTAGGGTTGACTTCACCCCACCAAAAAATCACTTACCACTCCTTGTCATGAAAAGGATGTGAACTAATTTTAACACATTTACAGCGTTTTGAATACTATTTCTAAGGATATCATGTCCCCCAACGAACATATGATATCGGACCCCAACTCTACCACGCCTCAATTTTCATAAGGTAGTATTCATATAAAATACAAATTTTATTGTAACATTCTTATTTACAATAATGGATCATATGCAATATAGATGAACTAGAAAAACTGTAAATAAATACAATGAATCTAAATACAAATTAGAGACATGTCATAATAGATCATTCCATCTTAAATAAGTCAACACTGTTTTGCGGCAAATATTAACAACAGCTTGTGATTTTTCTTGTTAAAAAGTTGAATCATTTTAACACATTCAACATGATGGATAAAAAATAGTGAATTTTATATAGTGATTTCTCAAAACTTAGTATGAACAAAACAAATTAAAGAAAATAAGAAACTTCATAGACAACCTTAAAACCAATATGTTTACTTTATGGTCTATGTGGGCCTGAAATTAAATATATGTGAAGGACAGATGTATGGGTCTCATGCCCTCCCCACCCATCTCTAATACAGGGCACCCCACTTTACTACATCTCAATTTTCCTAATGTAGTATTCATATAAAATACAAATTTTATTCTAAGCTAATTATGTACAATAATCGACCATATGCAATATAAGTGAACAATTCAACTAGAAAAAGTGAAAATAATTAAAATGTATCTAAATACAAATTAGAGACATGTCATAATAGATCATTCCATTTTAAATAAATCAGCAATGTTTTACAGCAAGTTCTAGCATCAACTTGTGATTTTTCTTGTTAAAAAGTTGAATCATTTTAACACGTTCAACATTATTCGGACTATTGTCCTCATTTTTGTCGCCATATTTATTAACCTCTGAAAGTTCTCCACTGCCTTAACAGGGTATTGAACTTACACTCTTTGGGTCCTGTCATTGGATCTAACCAACGCCTTTATTCACTGTGACATGTGTCCTCAAGGAGAACTTTCAGCGGGAAATTAACAGGAGATAACTGATAACTGACATCCATTAAACATGGCACGTGGAACTAGAACAGTCTACACCAGCGAGCGAAATAAAGGGTTAAGTTCGACATTCCAACCACCCGAAGAAGGCCGGTTCGTACAAAGGCCGAAACGTTGTAATAATAAATAACGACAAAGATGAGTACAAAAACCAATTCACGGATTTAGACAAATTACCCACCCCACAACATAATGACGTCAAAATCTGCGAAAGTTTTTCCTTCTTTAATAGTCAGTTGTACTTAGTTTAATTTGTAATGTATATATAAATGTAGCAAATGTTGATAAGATAGCGAGTGTCACAAAGGGGCCCCCGATCAGTCTAGGCATCCTCTCCGATCGGGGGTTTTGGATGTAATTATGCATTGACACTGATTAGAGACGGGATTTTTTTTTTCATCGTATTGACATCAAAGGGATACAGTGAATTCTTCTCTGCCTACCCAGGGAAATTATATTTGTCCATTAAATTTTTATAACGTGAATAGATTTTAAATCAAATAAACGCCCTTGCTATTTACGATATGAACTCTACCCAACTTTACTCAATCTCAATTTACCGATTTCGCCACAGAGGAGCGTTTCGGTTAACAAGGTCGATTTTATTGTTTTTTAAACTACAATTTTCCATGATTTTCTCACGTATATTCATATCTACTCGATGTGTATCCAAATGTAAACAAATGACGTCACCTAACTGAAAAGCTCCTCTGTGGCGAAATCGCTAAAAGCACATTAGGCTATATGATGGTTCCGTATAGGATACAGCAGGTTCGATTCCTGTCGGACATTCATGATAATTTCTCGGACATCCAGGCCGGTAAATGTTGTTAATACTGTTTATTATAAACAAAGCATTTACTTAAATATTTGTATCTAAAAAAAAGTCACCTGGTTAATATTAATACATGTTTTTCGTACTGATTTCATCGGTAGACTTTCGTTTGACTTTGTTTTATTGACCAACTTATCTACTCCATCATATATATATATATATATATATATATATATATATATATATATATGGATGGTAACGGCACGCTCAGGTTCCCTATAGGGTTACAAGTTCGATCCCTGTCAGAAGAGCTCATGCTTTCTGCGAAAAAGCCGGTAAATGTAATCAATACTGTTCAATTATTAAAAACAGAGCATTTACTTAAATGAATTATATCCATAAAAATGACATATGAACAGAAAATACATTAAATAATTGTCGGGCTTAGTCAATTTCATATGTTGTTACTGTTTACGTTAAGCTACGATTCATGAGCAGAAATGATCGATCGAGAAAAATCGTCGAAAATAAACAGAAAATAGATTAAATAATTGTCAGACTTAATCCATTTCATTATTTGTTGTCAATGTTTACTTTAAGCTACGATTCGTGATTACGAATCCAATGTAATAAATTATAACCATGGAATATTAGTGTTTGAGCCTTTTATATTATATTCTTACTCTGTCCTGGACATTGAGCTCTACCTGGATTCTATCCTCTTGGAAATATATATATATATATGTGTGTGTGTGTGTGTGTGTGTATTGACCACTAATATTATCTATCTATCTCTCTCTCTATATATATATATATATATACATACACACACACGCATATATATATTTTATATATGTATATATATATATATATGTGTGTGTGTGTGTGTGTGTATGTGTGTATATTGACCACTAATATTATCTATCTATCTATCTATCTATCTCTATATATACGCGCACACACACACATATATATATATATATATACACATACACACAAAGGTTACTATACTTATGTATGACCGACTGAAATTTTCATGATGTTAACGCTCCGCAGTGTCAGATAAGAATAATTGTATTATTGGCATTGAGTACACATTTTTTTTAATACGCTAAATGAATTTTCAAACTTAAAATTTCCTTTACAAGTATTTCATTTTTTGATAATAATAATTATTATTAGGAGATACCTTCTTGATATTTTTATAATAATTATTATTATTATGAGATATCTTCTTGACAAAATTCTGATGAACTTGACATACATTAAATTACATAATTCTACTTATACCAGTAACTTTTTTATCATTATTATTACTATGTTAAATTAACGAAGCGATGTCTTATACGCCATTTGTTATCATCTTCAGAACATTACTATCAAAATCCTTAACGCACACGCCTTTTTTGGGTTTTTTTTCCTTAAGTGCCGCCTCAAGATGACGTCTATTCCCGCTGCTACTTGGGCCACTGAGGTGTCTATCATAATGAGGCAGGGTCGACATTTGGATTGTTTAAGTAAACAAGTGGAGCCTTTCGAAAAGTCATTGCACACTTCCCCTTCAGAAGAGGAGTGTCTTGAAAAGTGTGGCCTAAATATCTACTCTGACAATGCTTAAGATTAGAAGCTTCATCTCCTTCCTCTCTCCTTCTTTCTTTTCTTTTCTTTCTCTCTCCCTCACTCTCTTTCTCTCTCCCTATCTCCTTCTCTTTGTCTTTTTCGTTTCCTCTCTCTTTTTCCTTCTTTCTCTCTCTTTCTCTTTTCTCTCCACCTCTCTCAACTCCTCATTCTGTTTCTCTCTTTCTCTTTCACTCTCTCCTTGTCTTTCTCTCTCTCCCATCCTCTCTTCCTCTCTCCATCTCCTCCTCGTTCTCTCTCCCTCCCTCCATCTCTCCCTCCCTCCATCTCTCCCTCCCTCTCTCTCCCCTCTTTCTCTTTTCTTTTCTACCCTCTCTCCTCCTCATCCTCTTTCTCTCTCTCTTTCTCTCTCCCCACAATCTCTTCCTCTCTCCCCTCCCTCTCTTCCTCTCTTTCTCTCTCCATCTCCTTCTCTTTCTCTCTCATTTCCTCCCACTCTCTCTTCCTCATTCCCTATCTCCCTCTCTCCCTCTTGTGTAGCGATGTAAAATGTTTTTATTGTAATCCATTATAATAGAAATATTTTAATAATAATATATATATGTGTGTGTGTGTGCGTGCAGATATGTGTATGTGTGTGGATGTTTCATCGTTTCACCCCAAGCAAGGCAGTAATCCTACTATAATGAAGGTGGTTACAGAGAGTGAAAGAGAATGAGAAAAGTGAAAGTAGGGACGATTGAGGGAAGAGGAAAAAATGAACAATGTTCAAGATAAAAGATGGCGATTAACCTTGCATTTTAATGTTTGAAGATTTTATTTATTAAGGAAGCAAAAAATGGAAAGCAGTTCCACAGGTGGTGAGTGCCAGAAACACATATTAAAAAATATTTTTTAAATTTTGAATTCTCAACATCTCTCTTTCGTTTGTGCGCATGTGTAGTCGCATCAACGTAAAGAAACTTGGTCTGATGAAGTCCTAGGGAACGAAACGCACCACTCAAAGCTTTTCCCATTTTGTCTTTCATACATACATACACACACACACATATATATATATATATATATATATATATATATATATATATATATATATAATAACGCCTATTTTTAGGTTGACATTAATTTCAACGTTAAAAAAAAGGATGTCCACTCAAACATTTATCTCCACTAAATTAATGTTTATAGTGATAATATTAGAGGTCAATATATATATACATATATATATATAAATTCCCAAGAGGATAGAATCCAGGTAGAACTCAAAGTCCAGGACAGAGTAAGAATATAATATAAAATGCTTTTCCGATTTCTTTTTAAATTTGTAGGTCTGATGAATTGGGTATTGACTACGATTCCAATGTAATAAATTATAACCATGGAATATTAGTGTTTGAGCCTTTTATATTATATATATATATATATATATATATATATATATATATATATAGTGTATTGGGACAGCAAATCATTAATTAAACATATATTGTTAAATATAACAGACAACGAATGTCTATTATGTTTGATCATGACCCGTTCTAAATTTCGTATATTCCTTTAATTTCAGTGAAAATAAAGGTAAAATTGTCCAAAGTTCTGATATTTTTTTTTTTAAGTTGGTCCTTGATCTAAGCTTTCAGTTCACATGAGCCATCTTCAAAGATGTTATTCGGACATTTTAACAAAGATATTCATCATCGAAGATAATATTTTGTTATGTTGACATAGATTGCTATCGCTGAATATATATATTGTTATATTCAGCGATAGTTATTGTCGCATAGCAATCTATGTCAACATAACAAATATATATATATATATATATATATATATATATATATATATATATATATTTTAATAGAATAATGTGGGCATATATGTCTACTTGATTCGAACCAACCCCTGCGTTGTGGAATCGTTCCTCATACAGAAGCCTTCTGATATACTGGCTCTCTGCGAGACCAGCCTCAACTCGTTCATCCCCTCCTCTGACCTCTCTATCCCCGGTTACCTTCATCTCCTTAGAAAAGGACTCTCAAACCCACATGCACGGCCTTGGAGTTTACGTCAAGGACCATCTCCCTTTGGCTAAGGAGCTCTCTCTCTCGAATCTCCGGACAATTCATACATGTGTCTCTGTCTATCTCTGTTATCAACGAGCTGACTGGGACTCGTTCCGTGATTTCCTTCGCCATGTCCCCTGTAATGCGGTCTTTAATCTCTCCGTTCTAGAATGCACTTCAGAGGTCTCCTCCTGGATAAAAGCTGGCATCGAGGCTTTCATCCCCGCAAAGAAAATATACAGTTAAATCATACTCATCGCTTTGGTTTTCTGCTGCTTGCTCAGCTGCCATTACCCACGGGAATCACTTCTTCCGCCTGTACCGTAGTGACATGTCACGTTGCAACAGACGTCTCTTTGTCTCAACCCGTAATGACTGCAAGCGTGTCCTCAATGAAGCAAAGTCACTTCGCTGATAGAATTAAACAACAGATTGCATCTTGCAAATTCGGCTCCAAAGATTACTAGCGCCTTTGCAAGAGCGTACTAAACAATTATTTAGCGATAATTTTGCAATATTAGAACGAGGTCAACAAAGAATCGCAATCATTATATCACGAAGAGTGAGAGGAACATCTGTGATAAGAATTTAGCAGTAATTTTGATTTTAAACAAGCATTTTGTTTCTTTTTTTTATACCACTACTTTCTTGTCGTGACAGAGATTCATTTGCCATATTTGATAACGCTGTTAGTAATTATCTTGGTGCAAACGAGAACGGAAAAGATTTTTGTAAAAAAAAAAAAAGACATTTGTTTCTGATACAGTATCACATGTTGTACACACATTAACATGTTTGTCTTTGCAAAGACGTCATTCAGACGAACAAAAAAACTTTAAAAAATATTAAATGTTTTATGCTTTTTCGGTTGTAATCTTCCAGCAGTTTTTGTCTTGATTTTGTGTGTTTTTGTTCTTATTTTAGAGAATATCAGTTTTCGTATGCTTAGTTGTTCCCAGAGGTGTCAGAAAGGTTGATAAGCCGTAAAAATTCTTATTTTCAAGCAAGAATAGAAAATAGATGAGCCCCCTCCGCCTCAATTTGACGGGAAGGTTGAAAACGAGGCCATGTTTAATCGTGACCAACTTCAAAGTTCCCAATGGTGGAACAAGTGAATGATGATCACAACAGATCTCAACAATTGAACCAGCGGATGAAGAGGGCTACGCATAACGGACATGCTACAGAAGGCGCCATTCGAAATTAAGACAGAATCAGCAATAGTCCGTAGCAGTTTTATAAATGGATTTTGCATATCTCATTCCATATGTGCCACAGAGGACGGTCATTAAATCAAGTGTGTGGGTTACTTCCACCTTAAACAAATTCATGCCATCGGCACTTTCTTCTACTCTGATTTTCTTTCACCTTCAACCAACTCTTGCAAAGCCAAACGGCAATAGGGAATGGATGATGGGAGCAGATTTTGGTGAAACTGGAAGCTGCTAGTCCTGAACTCGCACGTTGGAAGGGAATGTAGTCATAAACGCCATCATCATAAAGGAAGCGATCAGCATTAAATTCTTGTATACGAGATAAAACCGACAATGAGAAATGTGCGTAAGAAAAGCATGTATCGTCTCAGTTCTGAGAGAATTAGAAATCCTACCAGGATTCATTATTGGTAGCAACAATCTTAACAACATAAGATATGAAGATGAAACAGATGTTGAACCAGCGGATAAAGAGGGCTACGCATTACGGACATGTTACAGAAAGCGTCACTCGAAATTATAAGTGTCAACGGCAGTTCGTTGAAGTTTCATAACTGAATTCTGCATGTCTTATTCCATATTGAGATGTATGTATATGTGGAAGAGAGTGTTGACTTCAATGTTCACCTTTATATTTACACACGCTCTATCTGTGATATTGAGCACTTTATCCCATAAATATAGCACACCTTACGACTACATTTCTTCATATATATATATATATATATATATATATATATATATATATATTGAACAATAAAAAAAATATTAAAAAATCAAAATCTTCAGACACACTGGGTTGTAAATTAATATTCTTTCGTTTTTTATTATTATTTCATTTAGATTCCTCGACTAGTTTCGGCCAAAATGGCCATCACCAGGAGAAAAAATATTTCTGCTTGCTGGTAGCAGTATACTACAGAAATATATATATATATATATATATATATAGCAAATATACAAACACACACACACTTTTAATTTCGGATATTGCATTCGAACATATATAAAATCGTTACATAAATGCATTCATGTTTCGATGCATATCATCGCATCTCATTAGCGGTTAGTAAAGAACCTCAATTCCTCAATCCGAGCCGCTAACCATTACTCAACTGTGCCTCCCTCCATCGTAAAACCGACGACGATAAATGGTCGTTAGACAAGCATGTGTCTCCTCACTGGATTTATTCAACCTTTATAGTGAAGCAATTCTAAGAGAATTAGAAATTCTACCAGGATTCATTATTGGTGGCAACAATCTTAACAGCATAAGATATGAAGGTGAAACAGTGCTGAGAACAGAAAGGAAACCACAAGAACTTCGATAGAAGATAGTGAAGGAAAGCGAGAAGAAAGGACTAAGCACTAACTGCAAAAAGACGGAATGCATGGTTGTCAACCAAAGGAACATGCAAATTACACAGTGGAGAGACCAAAATCAAACAAGTACAACAATTTAAATATCTGAGAAGTGTTTTAATAGGGGGGCGGTAAGTGTGAAGGCTCACTGGGATAACGAAAGACGCCTTCCAAAAGGTAAGTAAAATATTAAGAAACAGAAAATATCGTTAGAAACAAAGGAAAGAGTACTGAACTCATACGTAATATCAGTCCACCTATATGACAGAGACTGCTGAACAATCTCCTCGCAGATTAAGAAACTTGATGCAACAGAAATGTGTTTCTACAGGAGGATGCTGAGAATATCATGCACCGAACATGTGAGAAACAATGAAATGGAAACAAAAAGGATACTTATACTTAACATCATGAAGAGAGGGTTGAAATTTCTGAGATACATAATGAGGAAAGAGGGCTTGGAAAATTCTATATTCACAGGGAACATTGGAGGGAAAAGGACAGAAGAAAATAACGCATAACCTGCCAAGCGAGCCTGATTAAATTGATGGCGCAGCGTGGTTTAGGAGAGATAACAAAAAGACAAAATTTACTAAGAACTACAAAGGACAGGAGATTGTGGAGAGCCATGATCGCCTACGTCCTCAAAGGGGACGGCATATCGAAGAAAAAGAATGAGTTTGGGTAAATGGATGACAGAACAGGGTTTAAGAGAGATAACAAAAAGACAAAATTTATTAGGATCTGCAAAGGCCAGGAAATTGTGGAGAGCCATGATCGCCTACATCCTGAAGAGCACGGCACATAGAAGAAGAAAATTAAGCTTGAGTAAATTGATGGTGGAGCCTGGTTTAGGAGAGTTAACAAAAAGACAAATCTATTAAGAGCTACAAAGAACAGG